GAAGCGTCTTCGAGGTACGAGAAGCAAGCGGGACGTTCTGGCTGAATCCTTGAGTATATATATATATATATATATATCTTTAACTATATGGGTTGCGCCGCTGCACGGGAACATTCGTTGGCGGATGACGGGAAGCGTCTTCGAGGTACGAGAAGCAAGCGGGACGTTCTGGCTGAATCCTTGAGTATATATATATATATATATATATATATATATATCTTTATATCTATGGGTTGCGTGATCGCACGGGATTTTTCGTTGGCGGATTCCCCAAAATGGCCATTTCGCTCGAGACATCCTCGAAAAATCGAGGTGTTGGTGGCTATCGTTTAAGACGTCTTATGTTAAAAATGACGGTTTCGCTCGAGACATCCTCAAACAATCGGGATGCTGAAAAATATCAAAAATTTTTGTTATGCATGAAAAATGAGCGTTTCGCTCGAGACATCCTCGAAAAAATGAGATGCCGACGGAGGTGTTTTAGAACCTCTTATGTTAAAAATGACGTTTTCGCTCGGGACGTCCTCAGAAAATGAGCAGGTGGTCTGCCGTGCTCCTGCGTGGAGCACGGCAGACCACGGCCATTTCGCTCGAGACATCCTCAAAAAATCGAGGTATGGTCTGCCGTGCTCCTCGTCTTGGTCTGCCGTGCTGCATGAAAAAATGAGCGTTTCGCTCGAGACATCCTCGAAAAAATGAGATGCCGACAGAGGTGTTTTAGAACCTCTTATGTAAAAAATGACGTTTTCGCTCGGGACGTCCTCAGAAAATGAGCAGGTGGTCTGCCGTGCTCCTGTGTGGAGCACGGCAAACCACGGCCATTTCGCTCGAGACATCCTCAAAAAATCGAGGTGTGGTCTGCCGTGCTCCTGTGTGGTCTGCCGTGCTCCTGTGGTCTGCCGTGCTCCCCACAGGAGCACGGCAGACCGCGCGTAGGAACCGAGAGGAGCACGGCAGACCAAGACGAGGAGCAGGGCAGACCAGGCTTAGGAACCGAGAGGGGCACGGCAGACCAAGACGAGGAGCACGGCAGACCAGGCACCAAGAGCGCCCTCAAGACGACGGAAAGGATGACCAAGACGAGGAGCACGGCAGACCAAGACGAGGAGCACGGCAGACTATGCCCTAAGAGTGTCTCAAGACGGCCGAACAACGGCAGACCCCATAGGAGCACGGCACCTGTGGTCTGCCGTGCTCCCCACAGGAGCACGGCAGACCGCGCGTAGGAACCGAGAGGAGCACGGCAGGCCAAGACGAGGAGCACGGCAGACCAGCTTAGGAACGCGAGAGGAGCCACGGCAGACCAAGACAGGAGCACGGCAGCACAGCACCAAGAGCGCCCTCAAGACGACGGAAAGGATGACCAAGACGAGGAGCACGGCAGACCAAGACGAGGAGCACGGCAGACTATGCCCTAAGAGTGTCTCAAGACGGCCGAACAACGGCAGACCCCATAGGAACACGGCACCTGTGGTCTGCTGTGCTCCCCACAGGAACACGGCAGACCGCGCGTAGGAACCGAGAGGAGCACGGCAGACCAAGACGAGGAGCACGGCAGACCAGGCTTACCGGGTCATCAGAAGTGCGGATCTAGCGTAGTATATTGATCTTAGGACGACCGTACCTCTTATGATCAATATACCATATTATATCGTATGGAATACCATATATGAACTAAAATTGAGCCAACAGCCAAAATTGCAAGCAACAGTGGCGAGGAGATGTAAGAGGAAGAAGGGAGAGGGAGGGAGAGAGAGAGAGAGAGAGAGAGGCAGTAAAGGAAAATAACCCCCTGTCCCCGAAGGCCTTCATGGCCCAGCTGACACGCGCGGGCCGCAGCCCACCAGGTGATCGTACCAGGTGTACTGCACCGGTGGGAGGGCGGCATTTTGTTTGCAAAATGTTGGTGCCAGGGCGGCGCCGCCCTGGCCACGATGTTCTTTGCACCTGTGGCTCCCATGGGGCACCCGTCGCGCGTCTCCCACACGAGCGCGAACACTGACGGCGTGCCGACGCGCCCAAGCCATGCATGGGCGGGCGGCACGTGCAGCCACCAGTGGGTGGGGCGCGCTCCCTGCGATGGGTAATACCACCACGAGGGCCACCGCCCTTGCCCTCTGACGCGCACCACCGCGGGGCCCATCCTGGCCGCGGCGTGGGCAGCCCGCGAGGGCGGGGACGTCGAGTAAAAGCACGGGTGGCCCCCGCGGAAGGGGGAACGGGTCGACCAAATAAGGGGGAGGGGGGAGCCCTGGCGGCAGCGCGGGGAGATGCAGGGCATCCGCCCCCGCACCCACCTCCCAATCCAGCAGCCAAATGTTCATTTGGCCGCTGCGAACGGAGGAGGGGGAGGCAAGGAGGAAGGAAGGGGAAAGGCGGGAGGAGGGGAAGGTTGGGGAGGGCAAATAGGAGGGGATTGAGGAGGTAGCGAGGGGACGGGCGAAGAGGAGCAGGAACGGTTAGCTTATACCACATAGCTTGCGCCACACCTGCATGTTATTTCAGTAGGTTCCTTGTGCAGGCCACTTGCTCATTTATTTTATTAATATGGAGAGTGGCGTCGAGGGTGCTTGGGGCAGCGCTCACGCGCTAGGGGCCCCCTCAAAGGTCGGCAGAACGGGCGCGAGGGCGCAGGGCTGCCCCCCCCCCTCGCGACGCTCGCCGCTCTCGCCCAAGCCCGCGGCCCGCGGCGGGCGCGGGGCCACGGGCGCCGCATGGAGCGCGCAGGTGCCACTGCGCGAGGCGAGGCCCAGCGCGGAGGATGAGGAGGAGAAGGAGGAGGAGGAGAAGGAGGAGCGGGATGAGGAAGAGGAGGAAGAGAAAGAGGAGGAGGAGGAGGAGGAGGAAAAGGAGGGGGGACGGAACCGGATGATGACGATTGATGATGATGATGATGATGATGATGATGATGATGATGATGATGATGATGATGATGATGATGATGATGATGATGATGTTGACGATGATGATGATGAGGAAGAGGAGGAGGAGGAGGAGGAGGAGGAGGAGGAAGAGGAGGAGGAGTTTGGGACCTTTTTGATTAGGGTAGGAATGAGGAAAGAGATGAGAATGAGGATGGAGGGGGAGGAAGGGAGGAGGAGGAGGAGGAGAAGGAGGAGGAGGGAGGAGGAGGAGGAGGAGGAGGAGGAGGAGGAGGAGGAGGAGGGCTGCAACGGCTGCGACCGTGCCAACTCCGTCTCGGGAGCTGCTCGGCACGCGGCCGCGGTGCCGCACCCGCCCCAGGGGGGTCGCAACCTCACCGTGGCTCGCGGGGGGGCGGCGCGGGTTGTAAAGCCAAAGACACACCCGGGAGAAGGGTCCCCGAGAGGAGGAGGAGAAGGAGGAGGAGGAGTGGGAGGAGGAGGAGAAGGAGGAGGAGGAGGAGACAGATATGGAAGGAGGAGGAGGAGGACGAGGAGGAGGAGGAGGATGGATGATGATGATGATGATGATAATAATAATAATAATGATGATGATGCTGATGATGAGATGATGATGATTTGATGATCATGCATCATCATCATCATCATGATGATGATGAGGAGGAGGAGAGAAGGAGGAGGAGGAGGAAGAGGAGGAGGAGTTGGATTAGGATGTGGATTAGGATTAGGATGAGGATGAGGATGAGGATGGGGAGGGGGAGGAAGAGGAGGAGGAGGAGGAGGAAGAGGAGAAGGAGGAAGATTAGGAGCGGGATGAGGAGGAGAACGAGGAGGAGGAAGAGGAGGAGGAGGAGGAGGAGGAGAAGCCGTCAGCAAAGGCGCTCGAGACCTGGGAGGGGTGGCTTGGGGGCGTGTCCAGGCCATCCATGGGGAGGTTACTCCAGATGTCGTAATAAAAGGGAGGGGGTCTGGACCCTCCAAGACAAGCCATTTCAGACCCCCCCTCGTGGGAGAACCCTCCAAAATATCGTCCCCAGACCCCCCAAGGCCCTCCAAGATAGCCTGGAAGAGACCCCCCCCCCGAAATGAGACCCCCTCCCTTTATTACGAAATCTGGAGTACGTGTCCAGGCCACCGATGGGGTGGTGAAACTCATGATCGAAGCCATTTCGTGCCCAGGCAACCCAAGAGGGACATGTTAGAACACATGTGTGTCCAGATGGGGTGGGTTTATAGGCCCATTATCGTCAAAGACGCCGCCAAGGAGACCCAAGAAGCCCCCAAGAGGTGCCCTAGAGGGCCCGAAGAGGCCCCCCAAAGCGCTCCAGGGCAGGCGGAATTCACGAAGCGAGTTGATAATCAATTACCCCAGTGCGACCCTACCTAGAAGTTGGAGCCCCTAGGAAATCAGCATTAGTTGTTATGCTATGCTATGTTACGCTATGTTATGCCATACTATGCTGCGCTATGTTATGCGATGTTATAATATGATATGATATGTTGCGCTATTATATGCTATGCTATGATATAATATGATATGCTATGCTATGATATGACATGCTGCGCTGTGTTCTGCTAAGCTATGATGTGCTATGCTATGCTATGCTATGTTAAGCTGCGCTATGCTCTGTTATGGTATGCTATGATATGCTGCGCTGTGCTATGCTGTGCTGTGCTAGGCTGCGCTATGCTATGATATGATATGATATGCTGCGCTATGCTATGCTATGCTGGGCTATGCTATGATATGCTGTGCTGCGCTATGCTATGCTACGCTATGCGATGCTGTGCTCTGCTATGCTAAAGCTCAGCGAAGCTAAAATGAAGGTAAGCTAAGCAAAGATAAACCTGAGCTAAGATGAAGCTAAGCCAAGCTAAGATGAAATAAGCTAAGCTAAGATGAGATAAGCAACGCTAAGCTAAGGGGACGTAGCTGGGGGAACCGCGGGGAGGATGCCGGGGGAACCGCCCAGGGCGAGCCCCACTGCCCGGCCCCTTTAAGCCAACACAGTAAGAACCCTTCTAGGCAGAGCCTAGGTAGGGAACACCTGATCATTACGTGCCCAGGCCATTACTTGTCCAAGCCTCCCTCGCTTCCAGTGGTCCCAGGCGGTCCCAGGCGGCCCAGGTGAACTCGTTCTGTAGCTTGTTGTATCTCAAGCCATCTGACAGCTTGTTGTATCTCAAGCCCTATGGAGCCTCCTCACAAATATCGATCCCTGGCGTGTGGTCAATCTGATTTTGTGGATGGGAAGGTGCCACTATGGGCCCTCTACGCCAAGGTGAACTTTGATTCGTTAGAGTCCGAACACGGCCGCAACGCCGACGAGGAGGCGCCCAGAGCAGACGAGGAAAAAAAGGCAGATGAGCAACCAGCAACCAGCGACCTGCGAGGCCCGAAGAAAGAGCGTTGCGAGGAGACGGAGCCAGAGCAGGAGCAGAGCACCGTCATCGATTGCATCATTGTCAGCAGCTCCGACGACGAGGGAATCTGGTGATGTGGCCGAGAGCGCGCACCAATCGGGGGGCACGCCAGGGAGTGCGAATTGTTGTGTGTTGGCATCGCCACGACATCTATCATCGCCATCATTGTCGGCACCCAGATGTTGCAATACACCCTAAATGCCACAAGAAACCTACATGTCATCACGATGTTGCAATACATCCCAGCCTTTGTTGTAAAAGATGCTGCAATACACCCTTGGCCTACCGTGATGAAATGACATGCAATACGCCCGAGATGCCATCGCGATGTTGCAACACACCCTCTGTGCTGCAACGCTTCCTCTATCGAAAGGATGATGCAATACACCCTGGGGCGGCCTGAAGCTGTAATGCGCATTGGCGCAGGATGCTGCAACACATGAGAGGCCCGCAAGACACCCTCCATGACGACATAACGATGCTGCAATACACCCTATGGTGAAAAAGATGTTGCAATGCACCCTATATGCTGCAAAACTTCCTCTATCGAAAGGATGCTGCAATACACCCTGGGGTGGCCTGAAGCTGTAATGCGCGTTGGCCCCAACAGGATGCTAAAATACACGAGAGGCCCGCAAGGCACCCTCCATGACGGCATAACGATGCTGCAATACACCCCATGGTGAAACAGATGTTGCAATACACCCTGACGCTGAAAATGATCGAGACCCTGAAAGGGGCGAGGGCGTCGAGGGGGATACAGCTGTCTCCTCCTCCTCCCCCTCCTCCCCCTCCTTCCCCCGCAGGCCATTTTGGCACATTTAAGTCAGCTCGCGCTAGCCTTGCGAGCCTCGGCTGTTTTCAGCATGGCTTCTCCTCCGAGTGAGGTGCCATGGCGCAGCACACGTGGTCGAAGCGCTCCGTGGACTCAGCCCGAATGCCGCACGATTGCGGAAGCAATGTTATCGAACATCCCGGCAGCGTCAGCATCGTTGATCCTTGAGAACAAGAAGAAGGTAGATCGGGTCATCTCGTACAATGCAGCATACAACGTAACAGTGCAGGCTCTCAAGGAGAATTTTGGGTACTTGAAGGCTGTGATCGAGCATTGCCCCCAGGGAGCTCCCAGCAGCTACATGCTAGCGGACGCCTTCTTGGAGCTCGACAAACTGCTGAATTCGAAACTGCTCAATCCCGCGGGCATCAAGACAAAGCAGGTGCTTGCCTTAGAGGAGGCGGGGCGCTTGCGAAAGATGGTCGGGCACACTCGGAACTTGCATGGGCGGGTGGATACTTCCCGCGATCCCGTTTTGATGCAGCTGAAAAGCATGCGCGCCCCCAGCCCTGGTTCCAAGCGCGCCCAACTGCAGCGCGGCTCGTCGTCGGAGTCCCAGGCCGCCTCGCCCGTGGGAGAGCTCTTCACGCCCGTGAAGAAGCAGGAGACTGGAGGAGGAGGGGGAGGAGGAGGAGGAGGAGGAGGAGGAGGAGGAGGAGGAGGAAGAAGAGGAGGGAGGAAGAGGAGGACAGGAGGCGGGAAGATGGAGGCAAGGGAACAGAAAAGGTAGGAGGAGTGAGGGGGCGGGGGGATGCCCCCCCTCCCTCTATCCATCTACCCCCCCCCTCCGTCCACTCCCTCCGCCCCCTCCCTTCGTCGCTCCTTCCCCGGTCGCACTCGCTCGACCTCCCCAGGAGATCGACTACGCGGCCGAGACGGACCGCCTGCTGGGCATCGGCCCCGTGGACGCGGTGAGCGCCATGGGCATGAAGATCATGGCAATGGACAGCGAGGGCAGCTTGCGCGCGCCGAACCCTCACCAGCAGTGGGCTTTGGCGAAGCCCGAGAAGAACAGCTCCGAGAAGGCACCCCCCAAGAAGAAGAAGAAGAACAAGTCCAGCTTCGGTCGGAAGCGGAAGGCCGCCCCAGAGCCCAAGCCTGTGGCGGCGGTCGCCATGGCGCCTGAGCTGCTGCCGCCGCCTCCTCCAGCTCAGGATCCGAAGGTTGAGGAGGCGATCAGCAAGATGCTGACGAACTACCCAGAGCATGGCCCGCGCGAGAGCCTTCACCTCCGCATCCCAGTGGAGGCGTGGCCGAAGGTGATCAATGGCAAGCACTCGTACACTATCTACGGCGGCGCCCATGCCAAGGTCGAAGTCAATTTGAAGTGCAAGCACTTCCGGGTCCAGGGGAAAGAGCCAGGCACTCCACCGATCGATGGCTCGCCCAATGTGCCGTGGGCCAAATACAGCAGTATTGCAGAGGCCTGGACAGCTTGCAAGGTGTTGAGCGGTTTCGATGCTTCAAAGTAGGAGTGCATGTCGAATTGTTTGGGCAATAGGGCGTTCGGGCTGTTGGAGTGCTTCGATGCTTCGAAGTAGGAGTGCTTGAGCAATCGGGCGTTCAGGCTGTTCAGGATACTCGAGTTGCAATCGACCAGCCACCGACTAGCATGATGCAGCCGAGCTCTGGGGGTGCTTGGAAACGATCCTCCTCCCTCCTCCTCCTCCTCCTCCTCCTCCTCCTCCTCCTCCTCCTCCTTCTCCTCCTCCCCTCCCTCCTACTCCTCCTCCTCCTCCCCCTCCTGCTCCTGCTCCTCCCCCCCCTCCTCCCCTCAAGGTTCGTCGAGGTCTTCGGAAGCTCTCGGGGGCCCCTGGCTTCCGCGGGAAGCTTGCGGGAACGAGCCCACGGCGGCGCGAGATCGGCGCCGAGAACAGGGTCGAGGGCCCCCGGGGACCTCCAGGTGACCTCCAGGAGCGAAGATCGCCTCAGGGGGGGAGGGAGAAAAAGGGAAGGAAGACGAGGAGGAGGATGAGGATGAGGAGGAGGAGGAGGAGGAGGAGGAGGAGGAGGAGGACGCACGAGGAGGAGGAGGGGAGGAGGAGAGAGAGAAAGAGGAGGAGGAGGAGGAGGAGGATAAGGAGGAGGAGGAAGACGAGGGGAGGAGGAGGAGGAAGGAGGAGGAGGAGGAGGAGGCGGAGGAGGAGGAGGAGGAGGAGAGGAGGAAGGGGGGGGAGGAGGAGGAGGAGGAGGAGGAGGAGGAGAGGAGGAGGAGGAGGAGGAGGGAGGAGGAGGAGGAGGAGGAGGAGGAGGAGGGGGAGGAGGGAGGAGGAGGAAGGGGGGGAGGATAAGGAGGATTGAGGAGGCAGATGACGAGGATGAGAAAGAGGATGACCACATTCGTCCCCGGCAGGATGAGGAAGAGATGAGGGGAAGGAGGAGGAGGAGGAGGAGATGTGGAGCGCAGGAGGAGGAGGGGAGGAGGCGGAGGAGGAGGAGGGGGACAGGAGGAGAGGGGGAAGAGGAGGAGAGGAGGGAGAGGAGGGTGAGGGCCAGGGGGGAGGGAGGAGGAGGAGGGGAGGAGGAGGAGGAGGAGGCGGAGGAGGAGGAGGAGGAGGGAGGAGGTGGAGGGGGGAGGGATTGAGGAGGAGGAGGAGGAGGAGGAGGAGGAGGAGGAGGAGGAGGAGGAGGCCACAAATCAAGTGTACCAAATCAGTGACCTCCAACTCCTCCTCCTCCTCCTCCGCCCCCTACTCCTCGCCCTCGTCCTCGCCCCGGCTTGCCAGGGCACAGTGGGACGCTTCGGCGTGCCAGGGCACAGTGGTTGAGTACAAACCTGGTTGATCCTGCCAGTAGTCATATGCTTGTCTCAAAGATTAAGCCATGCACGTCTCAGCATAAGCTTCTATACGGCGAAACTGCGAATGGCTCATTAAAACAGATATAGTTTATTTGATGGTCATTATTTACATGGATAAGTGTGCTAATTGTAAAGCTAATACATGCGCACAAACCCGACTTATAGGAAGGGCACTTATAGGGTTCGATTCCGGAGAGGGAGCCTGGGAAACGGCTACCACATCTACGCCGCCCGCCCGCCCGCCCGCCCCAGCCGCCCGCCTCGCGCGTTCCGTGGCCCCATAGGGAGGCAGGGGAGGTGGAGGCGGAGAAGGGCTCTTCTGGCCCCTGAGCATCGCCATGGGCCTCCTCCTCCTCCTCCTCCTCCTCCTCCTCCTCGTCCTCGTCCTCCTCCTCCTCCACCTCCTCCTCATCCTCCTCCTCCTCCTCCTCCTCCTCCCCTCCCTCCTCCTCCTCCTCCTCCTCCTCCTCCTCCTCCTCCTCCTCCTCCTCCTTGTCCCCCTCCTCCTCCTCCTCCTCCTCCTCCTCCACCTCCTCCTCCTCCTGCTCCACATCCTCCTCCTCCTCCTCCTCCTCCTCCTCCCTCCTCCTGATGCAAAATATCCTGCAATCCACCCTCTTATGTGTGCGATGCTGCAATACACCATCTGATGCAACATATGCTGCAACCCACCCGCAAGGGCACGAGATGCTTCATATGTGCGAGGCTGTAATGCACCCTATGATGCAACAGATGCTGCAATTCACCCATCCAGGGTGACACGAGGTGGTTCGCGTCGAGAGTGCGATGCTGAAATACACCCTCTGATACAACATATGTTGCAAAACACAATCGGGACGCTGCAATACACCTTGCGTGCACCTTTTTTGCAAGGATGCTCAAGAGGCCTCAGGGCCCCGCAAGACGCTGCCAAGGAGACCCAAGACGCCTCCAAGAGGCCCCCAATACACCCCCAAGAGGCCCCACAGAGGCCCCACAGAGAGCTGTAGGGCTGGCGGAATGAGCGCTCCAGAGGCCCCAAAGAGGCCCATCATCCCTCTCCATATTCCCCTCATCCTCCGCAGCCATTTTGGCTCGGGACAGCTCGAGAGTTCTGCAGTGAAGTTCTCACCTCGAGGAGTTGTCCGCTATGGCAAAATATACCAAAGAGAATTCTCCGCTCACGACAGCCAAACCTGATGGCCGCATGAAGCAGTGGAAAGCTCTTGCCAGGAGCTTGAGCTGGATGGGGGCTCCAGCGATATTGATTCGGCTCGTAACCCAGCTGCACCTGGAGCCCAGCATCAACATGAGCCCCACCTTGGACAGTGTTGAGTACTTCGCGGGAGATCAACAGTACACCCGGGCCAAGGCCCGAGATGGTCGCATCGCAGTGGGGTTCGAGATCAAGGACGATCCTGTCATGATGGATTTCCTGAATCCTGTGGGCTTCCTCTACGCGGTCTCGCTGTGTTGCCGGCTCAAACCAGGAGGTCAATGTGTTTCAGCACCAGTATGCAGCACATGGGTTTGGCTTAGCCGTGGTTCCACGGGACGCACCAAGCGCAGGCCCTTGGGCAACCAGCTGCTGAAGTGCGTCCGGGATGGCAATTGCATGGTGTCAAGGCTGTGCTTGCTCATGTTCATCATGTACGCGAAGGGCGTGTTCTTCATCATCGAACAGCCCGCCAACAGTCTGCTCGAAGAGCACCCGAAGTTCAAGCTGTTCCGGAAACATTTCACGCTGTACCGGAAGAGTATCAGCATGATCAACTACGGCGGGGACTCTCGAAAACCGACGTGGCTCTACAGTGCTCACAAAGAAATCATGGATTTGGACCAGTATGCGCCAACATCTCCGGCCCCATCATCGAAGAATAAAAAAGTAGAGATGGTCGTGAAGGGCACCGACAAGAATGGCAATGTGACCGTCACCGGCGGGAAGAATCTCAAAGAATCCCAATCGTACCCTCGGCAGTTTGGCGAATCGTTGTCGAAGCTCTTCAAGGCCAATGAGAACTCATTCCGGCGCGAGGCCCATGCCAGAGCGTTGGCCGCCAACAACCAGGACGTTCCAATTCAGGAGTGCTTCGAGGCTGCCAGTGCGAAGCATTGGAGTGATGCCCGCCTCGCCCCTGGTCTGAAGGTGCTGCAGCAAGGCACGTTCAAAAGCTGATCTTTTTGCTTACTCCAGATTTCGTAATAAAAGGGAGGGGGTCTCATTTCGGGGGGGGTCTCTTCCAGGCTATCTTGGAGGGCGGACGATGCTTTGGGGGGTTCTCCCACGGGGGAGGTCTGAAATGGCTTGTCTTGGAGGGTCCAGACCCCCTCCCTTGTATTACGAAATCTGGAGTAGCAATTGCCAGCCAAAGGCACAACTAAGCCACGTTTGCAATGCCAGCGCTGTGTTGCACGGGCCTTCGAGTTGCGACCACTTTGCTTTGCACGTGCAAGTGTTCTGTGTGACTAACACGAGGCAGCAGCCAAGCGATGATAGCCTATCAACCTTCGTTCAGTGCTGGTGCGCAAGGAAAAAATATGTCTGAATATGTCTGGTGGTTTACAAATGGGGAACATGTCTGGGATCCTCTCCTCCCTCAAACTGCCCTCCATATCCATAATGCGATCGGCAGTGAGATCGATTGTGGGATCGGTGGTGCGACGTCTTGTTGGTGTTTGGGGGCATTTGGGGGCTTGGTCTTGGGAGCCTGGGGGGAATCTTTGGGGTGCCGGGGAGGGTCTTGGGGAGCCTTGGACGTCTTGGTCGCCTTGGGGTAATTATTTTGGGCACCTCAGGGGAACCTTAGAGTCTTGGGGCCCTTGAGTGGTCTTGGGGGGGGTCTTATGGGAGCCTTGGTTTGTCTTGGTTGCCTTGGGGGGTCTTGGGGGATCTTGGTGTGCCTTGGGTGCCTTGGGAGGGTCTTGGGAGCCTTGGCGGTGGTGGTGGGGGGAGGGCGGTGTTGGGGCCTTAGAGGGTCTTGGGAGCGCTTGGGAGGTCTTGGGGAACCCTGGCCTTCGGAGCTTTGGGGGGGCCTATCGGGCTCTACGGGGCCTTGAGGAGTCTTGGGGTTAGGGGCTTGGGAGCTTTGGATCTTAGGGGATCTTGGGGGGCCCTGGCCTTCGGAGCTGGGGTGCCTTGGGGAATCTTCGGGGCCTTGGGGGCTCGTGGGGGCTTGGGTTCCCTGGGTTCCTTGGGGGATCTTGGGGAGTTGGGGCCCTTGGGAACCTTGGGGGCCTTTTGGTGGTCTTTGGGGGGGAGGGGGTGCTCCCCACTCCCGGCGAGCGCCAGTCGCGTCGTGCCTCCCCCTTGCCAGCGCGCGAGGCGCTGCAGCGCTGCCCTGCTGCGCGGCGCGGCGCTGGCCGCGGCGTCAGGCAGCTGGCGCGGGCGCGGCTGCGGGGCGCTGCAGGCGACGGGCTCGTGCGCACGCTGCAGCCGCACGATGCATAGAGAGGCAAGGTAGGGATGGAGGGAGATGAGAGGTTAGAGGGGGGCAGGAGGAGAAGCAGGAGGATGTGGAGGAGGATGGGGAGAACGAGGAGAGGGAGGAGGAGAGAGGAGGAGGCGGAGGAGGAGGAGGAGGACGAGGACGAAGACGAGGACGATGAGGAGAAGGGGTGGAGGTGGAAAAGGAGGAAAAAGAGAAGGAGGAGGAGGAGGAGGGTGAGGAGGAGGAGGGGGCCTATATAACTCAACCCCCTTAGTTATATTCGCTGTCCTGCTGTCTTGGGGCCGCCTTGGGGCCGTTGGGGGCCGCCTCGGGGGGCGTCTTGGGGTCCTCTCGGAGCCCCCTTGAGCCAGTCTTGGGGCCCTCTCGGAGCCTCTTGGAACATCTCTTGGGCAGCCGTGCGAAGTG